TATATATATATATATATATATATATATATATATATATAAACTGTTTAATAGTTGTAGAAAAAATACTGACCCTTCAAGCATAAACTCAGGGACTTTCTCAAGCAAAGTGGTGATGATGAAAGTCTGCGGGAAAACATGCATGTTTATGCATTTGCAAGCATACAGTGTGTCTTATAGGGACAGCGGTAGCTCAGTGGTCCGTGCTGCAGCCTTGTAATACAGTCTTGTACTTCCTAAGGATGCAGGTACAAGCCCAGTTTGCAATAGGAAGAGTGACCCCTGCAGAAGCGAGCAGCCAAAAGAAAAACAACAACACTATATCTTACAGCAGAGTAGTCACTTTACTTTTTCTTGTGAAAGATGTTTTTCTTTCAGCAGCTCCCTTCTACAGTGGTCGCTGCACTGAGAAAACTTGTATTGAAGCTTTGAACACTTTTTTACAATGGGTGTTTACCCTGATGCTAGATGAGCTCAAACTCCACAGCCTCAGGATTAAAAGACCATGCCACTGACCACTGAGCTAAACCAGTCCCTGAGATATTCTTGCAAATAAACGACAGTTCTGTTTTTAACATTTCCTATGTATAAAAAAAGGTAAATCCAACCTGCAGCATTTCATTGCCCAGTAACATTCTCAGTAGGCTTTCCTGGAAAGAGCTAACAGAACTGCAACAGAGATAAAAACACTTTTCAGTCTTTTGTGACAGCAAACATGTTCCTATCACATCAAAAAGCTGCTGTTTGAATGATCATTACCTGGAGTCCCGATCAGACAGCCGTGGAACACACGGCAGGAGGCAGCTCCTAAACCTGTCGGGATTCTCAATATAAGCCTCCAGTCCAGTCATGAACTCCTGCAGGATCTAAAAGCAATTTAAGTATGAGCCACATCAAAAAAAAAAAATGCTCAGCGTTAAGAGAAAGGCTGATACTCACACCGGGATACCTGGGGCTCTTCTGTAGCTGCTGCTGTATCCGCTTCTGAAAAACGACCTGGTCAACAGCTTGAAGAGACAAAATAAGTGAGAATCTAACTTTATTTTCAGATTAAATGTGCTGTTGGAATGTGGGTTTACCAATCTCGTTGGATGTGCCATCGTTTTTCAAGGTGACACCTGCCTCCCTCACAAATTCTCCAAAAACACTTTGATTTATTTCCTCTGGAACAGCCACCTCTTTAGGCTGACGACCTGTGCTGCAGCTCTTCTTGGCTTCTAAAGGAAACAGAACACATAAACATTAAAAACCACAGTTACGAATATTGTTGCATGAAAACAGTACAAGGTCTTCTTTGAAGAACATGTTTCAGTAACAGATTGTACCTCACTGCCAGAAATAAATGTTTATGATACTCTCCACAGTTTATAGTGAGATTAGCTTGAGGAATATACGGTAAACTGGATGAGATGCTGTGTCTCCAGTAAACTCACTGGTTGTTGTAGTTGTTCCTTCTCCTTTTTCTACCGAAGCGCGTCGCTTTTTGCGCATCATCTAGCAAAACATAAAGGAGCGAAACGTGTTAAAAGCTACATACAAAACTAGCATAGTCAGTACTACAAAACAAGGTAGCTAACAACCTTCTACACATTTAGTGTAAATTCAACGCATCACACAAACGTCCGTTTAGTATGTAGCGCTACATCGAGGTGGTATTGTTAGCTGACTGAATCATTCAGAATATTGATAAAGAAACATACTTTTACAAGCTATCGAGCTCACAGATGTCCGGAGAGAGACAGAACAAACTCTCGCGCCAATGAATATGACGCGTCACGCTGCACGTTGCTAACGTGCTAGCTCCTCCTACTCGCGTCATTTAGCGACACAAATGCGCTTTATTTGTTAAAGAAAACGAGACTTCTGAGTTACTAAATATTTCCCCAACAATACGGTGCGCTGTGCTAATATGGTGCAGTTGACTGCTCTATAAAAACATTAAGAGCGATTTATTTATTCGATTTTCTTTAGCGCTTGAATATTGGAGCGCGTGTTTTTGTTTACTTAGACAGGCGGAGTTAAAGTTCTCACCTAGGTCGCCACGAGCAACCGTGCTCCGGGATACGCTGCAAAGTGAAACATGCAACCCCCGGCCCATTCATTATCGAAGATATAGATCAAGATTTATCTGTTATCTTGATATTTGCTTTGTCTGTTAACACTTGTCCTCAATTAACCTCTATTTTTTTTCTTTTAATAACAAGATTTTTACTACAAGTAAACACTTGAATAAATAACTATTTTAGAGTTAATGGCACAACAAGAAGTAGTGCTAAACTAGCGGCGTGCAGTACAGATGTGCAAGCTAAGAAGAGTCGTAACACTTTGCTTTACATTGCATAACCTAATAAACGCTTTGTACAAAATCAGTCTGTTCATAACAAAGACTGAACTTATGCAACCAGAAGTTACAACATATATCTACATACAGAACACACAATACAATGCACAACTAGCTTTAAACATTAACCTTTAATTAAGCATGCATGTAGTTAACTTTGTGCAGATGAACATGAACAACTTCCTGTTTATCGCTGTTGTAGTCAGCATGAGGTCGGCCGCAGGTCTTTACCCAACTTTTACATTTTTCCAGACTCCTATTAGGTTTAGGAAATATAATAAACTGTATTCACCCTCTAAAGCAAGGCTATTCAACTAAACTGCGCAGGGGGGGCACAGTTACTGAAAGCCAGCAGCTCAGGGGACAGACATCCAGTAATTAAAGTCATTATGTAAATAAACCAAGTATTACAATGATGTTACCTTTTAAATTACTTTATTTTGTTGCCTTGAATCACAAATGCAATGAACAAACCCAAAACTTAAACCCAGAACCACAAAAAAAAAAAAAAAAAAAAAAAGTTTTTTAACTGTATTTTTCAGGGGTACTGAGTTAAAATTTAGGGGTGCTTGAGCACCCCCAAAAAGAGGTTAAAATCGCCACTGCTACTTTTACTGTTACATTTCCAACTGTATTTTTTTTTAAAGAAAACTTTATTTATGGCAAAAACAAGTACAAACAAATATGGCAATTCACAATAGTGTAACTCTAAAAAGGGCATAGCAGATGTAGACTTCGATATGAAAAAAAGAAGAAATTAAATAAACTACAACAAGGTGGTATATGTTTTAGGATTAGCATGCATTCGTGTGCAATTCCATTAACATTACAGGTCTTCATGTGTTTCAATATATTTCTGAGATTTCAAATATAACTGGAATTCAGTTTTGTTTTGTTTTTTAGTTAAAAACTGGGGATGATCTTAGCACTCTCTGTTTATGAATAAAGAATTTTGCCAGACAAAATATCAGATTTACAACCGAGTTCCATTTTGTTGTTTTTCAGTAATACTCCAAATGTTACCATGTCTCTGGAAATAGATTCAGGAAGTGTAATTTTCGGTGTGATCCACCTTTCTAAGTGATTCCAAAATATTGGTTTTGTTGCACTTTGAAAGGTTAAATTGCATTAAAAAATTTATTTTTAGTATTTAATACAATACTGTATTTATCATTTGAGCGTTTGTTGTTTTTACCGGGTGAGTAACTTTCTTGACACAAAAAAAAACCCCACTCTTTGAGGTTCAAGACGCAACAGGGGGCGAACTCTCTTGACGCGAAGAATCTTTGTTGGTTTATGAGTCGAAGCTTCAGGTGAATCGAGGTCAGAGACTCGTTGGGAGCTGGAGGAAGAGCATCGCTGTCTTTGGAGAAAACAAGCGCAGAAATGGCTTCCAAGTTTTACTCCCTAACTGCTAAACTGTTGTCAGGAGAAGAGTTGAACTTCTCCTCTCTCCAGGGCAAAGTTGTCCTCATCGAGAACGTCGCGTCTCTCTGAGGAACGACCGTCAGGGATTACACCCAGATGAACGAGCTCCACGACAAGTACGCGGAGAAGGGGCTCGTGATCCTGGGGGTGCCCTGCAACCAGTTCGGCCATCAGGTGAGCACAGACCCAGCAGGCTCAGTCACGATGAACATACTGGTTTATTTGACTTTTTTTAAGTTCCAGTTTGACACAGTATGCATTTGAGGCAAGTGATGAAAACTTATGTTTCTTTTTACCAAAGTGGAAAATAAAAAAAAAATCACTTCAAACTGTTATTTTAATGTTTTATGACATGTCATGTAATAAATCAGATGTGACTGATAGTAATTCCAGGAAGGTTTCACAACATGAGGAAGTCTTGTATTTTCCTTCCTGATCCAGATAAGACCAAGCCTAAAGACAGATTGTGAATTAATGATCAACCTTTGCAGGAGAACTGCAAGAATGAAGAAATCCTGGCCTCCCTGAAGCACGTCCGACCTGGAAACGGCTTCGAGCCAAAGTTTCAGCTCCTGGAGAAGATGGACGTGAATGGGAAGGATGCCCATCTTCTGTTCGTGCTCCTGAAGGACCATCTCCCACACCCGAGCGACGACCGCTCGTCCCTGATGAACGACCCCAAGTTCATCATCTGGAGCCCGGTGAGCAGGAACGACGTGGCCTGGAACTTTGAGAAGTTCCTCATCGGTCCCGACGGAGAACCGTTCAAACGCTACAGCAGGCGGTTCCTCACCAGCGACATCGAGGGAGACATCAAGAAGCTCCTCAGTCAGGCGAAATGAGGCCAGATCTGAAGCCCAACCGTCCTGCAGCTCCCATCAGCATCGAGCTCTGTGCCGGTGGCGACACGTGAACACATCCTGTGCTCTCCTGCGAGTGATGACTGTGTTGGAGTCTTTTACCACATGAAGACATCTTCTGAAACCTGTGAGGAGGGTGTCTGATGAAATGTAAGACGCAACTTCTTCAGTTCCATCACACGCACAGACAGCACTGCTGTGTGGCGAGGACCAATAAATGGGCTTTTTCTCATCTCTTGCTTCGACTGTCATTGAATAAATACAATTTCAAAAAAAGATTGCCATAATGTAACCGCACGTGAAAACATTCAAACATGCTACTCATCACTGGTTTGCATGAATCTTTTAACGGCTGCATTAGATTACAGCCCAGTCCACTCTGGACTGGAGTAATTAAAGTTGCATCACCTGCAACGAAGGTGTGAGCAGACGCCATCGTTGACACTTCGAACCAGTTTTTCCCCCCCCCTTTTGTTCTGTGGAAGTTACAATCAATATCTTACCTGTTGTAGATGGTTGAATGACCATAGCTTGGAGGAAAAGTTTAATTCTCATCAGCTTAATGAGCAAATGGCTAATTTGACTAAATCTCTTTAATTAAATCAGATATTTAAAGTAATGCTGTTTTTTTAAAGAGTTGATTTTGACATTTAATCCCTGCTGAAAGTATCCTAGGCTGCACTTAAAGTGCTACAGCTAGCTGCTATTTGCACTTGAGCTTTCTAACTAACCTTATATCGGCATCAGTGTCGGTCATTAAAATAGTGCATAAACTCTACAATGTGTTTTAAAACAGTCCGCTTTGGTCTTGGCCCTGGTTTGATGAGGTATTAATAATTAACTTGTTCAGAATTAAACCAGTTCCCTGAAAACAGGTTGTTCACTTATCCACAACAGGTAAGATGTTAATTATTCAGAACCGCTACATAAAACTTCGTTTTCGACCTTAACTAATCAGGTCAAGTCATGAAATTAAGTCAAAATCAAGCGCCTTTATGGCTCCATTTTTCTTGTACTTTCGAACATCTAATTTTTTTTTTTTAAACATACAAATACACATTTTACGAATTTGAAAAAAACTAAACACACTTATGTGAGATTGTAATTCATCGTTATTTAAAAAAGTCCCCCCCCCCCCACCGAGGCTTCCAGTTTTTATTGTAATACAAATCTAAATATTTGTAATTTGAAAAACAAACAGGATCAATATGTAGACAAGAATTTAGACACCTAATTTAAAACGAAAAATGTTCACATCTCAGGTGAACTGTCAGAATTTCCTTTTGATATTTTTGCCTTATGAACGAAAACTGACTGAAGATATAAAACTTTCCTAACAAAAGGACATAAATGATTGCATTCTGGCAATCAGCTCTGATAATCTCAGAACAAACCAGCAGACAAGACCCAACATGTTAATCTGGTACTTATTTTCAGTAAAACTCATTTCTTTCTTGGCTGACTACATCAGTTTATGTCTGTAAAGATGAAAGTCTGTATAAAAAAAAAGGGATCACCAGAAAATAAACCAGACTTCACGGTGCAGCAGCTGAGGAGTGTTGAGTCGATGACATTCAACGAGTCATGCACCAACTGTTCCTCGTGGTCAGAAAGTTCAGGTTACGTGAATAAAGCACCACTTTTATTCTAGTTTATTTTGTTTCACTCGGTGCGTTTCGAAAATATCAAATACCAGCCGTTTCAGTACAGAGCTGCATGAATGTACACATCAGTGAGGACAAGCTACTGCAGCACAGCTATGGATCTCATCAGGAAGCAATTTGTCCTTCAAAATGGTCAAATGAGGCGTGGAGCGTGCGGCGGACTGCGACCGTTAACGCCGCAGCCGCGCCGCACACTTCAGCCATGTCTAGTTGCACTAGAAGCAGGTAGATCATGTTCTTGTGAAGCTTTGAAAGTGCCTCCTCTTTCGTCAGGTTGCAGGGATAGAAAGGCCACTCCCACCGTTGTGATTCCAAAAAAAAAATAAATAAAGACTAAAAACATGTTAGCAGGGTAGAACTCTTCAGAGGTGATGTAACCAAGGCTGTGAATTTAGGAGAAAAATAAAACAAGGCCAAATGGTTTTTAATCGTCAGGACAGATGCTCCAAACCTTGAAAAGAACAGATTGCAACAAAGGAGCAGGTCTGGAGCCCCGTGGACCCATTAAAAACCAGTTGCATGAAGGTTGTGGTCTTATGAGCATTTATCATTCTGTGAGCACACCTCACTGTTAAGTTTGCATTTACATCAGGACATAGCAACTAATTTAGACAACACCAGCGTCTTGCTAACTTCTGCTTCATTTCATAAATACCTAGAAATGCTTTGGTTCAAACAATATGAGCATTTGGCTTTTCTTCATTAATATTTTTTTTTTCTTGTGGGCAACAGAAACATTTGCTTATCTACACATTTTGAGGGCACTTCTAACATTCTGTTCATCCAGCGAGAGGATCTGTGTTTATTTAAATTCCTCTTCGTTCCAGACTTGTAGATCCTGACCAGAAATCAACGCGCTGCAGAGAGGAAGGCTCCCAGTTCACTCTTCACACAAGGCTGTTGGCTCGAGCCAAAAAATAAAATACAGGAGAGGAGGGATTAATCAGTCTGTGGAGTCCTGGTCACAAAAGAAGCATTGTGTGTGCGTATCCAAGTGTCCGTCTGCCATATGCTTTTCAGCCTGTGTGTGTGTGTTCGTGTCGGAGCTCCTCAGTTTGTGTCCATGTGGTCATCAGCTGAGTCAGGGGCTCCTCCCTGCGAGGCTGAAGGCTGAGGTTTGGAGGGGCTTTCCTCGTCTCTGCGCTGATAGAACAGCACGTAGGCGGCTTTAGTCTGCAACATGATGACGGGGTTAAGATTACACAACACCAACAGGGACACCAGACACCACGAGACACAGAACCAACAGGTGAAGGACTTTTAACTTTAATCATCATGTTGACAAACAAACAATAATTAAATCTCACCACAATCTGGTCCTCAGCGGCAGACGAGACGCTGCTGTCGTCAAAGTAATACCACTTCTCATCCACTTTATTCTTTCCATAAGCCGTGTCTGTCTCACACAGGAAGCACAGCGTCAACAAACTAAAATACTGCGGCTGATTTATTTGGAATAACAGATCAAATCTCATCACTTTTGTTCGATGTAAATAAGGCAAATAAAAAACTAAAACTACAGTGAAAACCGATGTGAGGGTCTTCGTAGGTTTACGTCACATGAGAGAAATTCATCCATCCATCCATTATCTTTACCCGTTTATTCCATTTTGGGTCACGGGGGTCGCTGGTGCCCATGTCCAGCAATCACTGTGCGAGGGGCGGGGTACACCCTGGACGGGTCGCAAGTCCATCACAGGGCCACATAGAGACAAACAACCATGCACTCTCACTCACACCTAGGGACAATTTAGAGTAACCAATTAGCCTAAAATGCATGTTTTTGGTCTGTGGGAGGAAACCGGAGTACCCGGAGAAAACCCACGCATGCACGGAGAGAACATGCAAACTCCACCCAGAAGGCCCCTGGACTGGGGTTTGAATGAGAGAAATTCATTCAGCGTTTTATTTTTTGGCACAGTTACATGGCCGACAACTGAATTTGGTTGCTTAACTGTTGTCCATGTTAAGATTGCGTGAAAATTAAACCGTGACTTACAGTGGCCACCTCCCATTCCTCCATAGTGGTTTGAAACTGCAATAAGGTCGTAGACATAAGGGCTCGCCTTCGGGTCGCAAACAAACTCTGACATGTTTAGATCCCTAGAAAAACAAACAAGTCAAGTCAAGTCAAATTTATTTATAAAGCACATTTAAAACTGCAAGCCATCCATGCCTTAATGTCAAGACATTTTAACAGAGGGTGAATTGAGCTTGAACTATTTGGTTTTAAGAGCAAACAAATCTGACAATCATCAGCAAAGAAATTAAACGAAACACCATGTTCCTCAGGATAGACCCCAAGGGGAGCGGATACAATGAAAACAGAAGGGCTCCAAGAATTGAGCCCTGCGGGACCCCGCAAGAAAGAGGCACTGAAGCAGATAAATTATTATTATTATTGTTATTATTAACATAGAAACTCCTGTCACTCAGGTAAGAACAGGACCATTCTAATGCTGCACCCATAACCCCAACCCAGTGTTCCAACCTTGATATAAGGATACTGTGGTGAACAGTATCAAAAGCAGCGGTAATGTCAAGGAGTACAAGTATCACAAACTGACCAGAATCATTTGCTAAAAGAATGTCGTTACAAAGCCTTACTTTGGCTGTTTCGGTGCCGTGTTTAAAAAAAGACTAAAAAAAATTCCAACAAACAAACAGGAGGTTAAAAATATGAATAAACTGATCTGAAAGAAAAAATACATTTTGCATGTTTAAGCCATCCCCTACTTTGCTTCTGTTTTGTTTTTTAAACCAGAATTTCAACAACAGTGTTTACTTGTTTCCTGGTGGCTCAAGTTTCTAAAGAGAAGTGACTTCTAGTCATTAGGTCACATGATCCTGAGGCAACTTCTCCTTTTTGAACACAGAAGAAACTTTGTACTTTCCCCAAAAAACAAAAGGCTCACGCAGAAGAGTAAAACTACTTTTTAGAGCTTTAAAAAGATACAATGAAAATAAACAACGGCTTCTTTATCTTTGAGAAATAATCCAAGTTTTGAGATAAAGTGAGTTTACGTCTCAAAAATACTATAAATATTTGCTTTTTCCAACAAGATTCTTTTGATTTTCAGATCCCTTTAACGTAGCATTGTCACTTCTATTACAGCGCGCAAAAAGCCAATTTTTATTCAGCCTCTACGCTGGTTATTTATACACAGCCTAAATTTAGTTGAGAATTTTAAAATAGAGGTTTCTTTACTGTTCAATGTAAAAAAAAAAAAGTTTCATTTATGCCATTAAACTGTTAAAAGTCTACGATTGGTCTATTTCACAGCAGACAGTTTGAGTAAAAAAAAAAAAAGTAGAACTAGCACAGTTGTATTAATCTTAGCTGCATTTTTCATGAAAAAAGAATGAAGCTCAAGTTAAAAAAAAAAAAAAAAATTTAAAATATAACTCATGTTTTTACAGAGGAACCAGAATGCACAGTTGCTGAAAAGCAACGCAGCGTTGTTCTTATTTTACACACCTGTGCTTTCAGTACTCTTTTAAACCAACATGTCTGTGCAGTCGTACAGTGAAAGAGGAAACACTAAGAAACCAAATGGCTACGTGGAGTCAAAGCTAACCACTTGATGTGCTTTAGGGGTCTGTTTTGTTTGTCCTGCAGTGGCCCAATGATCTGTCCAGGCTTTACTAACAGCAACTCTACCAGCCTTCAGCTTTTTTTTTTTTATACTTAAAATCAGCTGAAAATAAATCCTGCAATCATACCTGATGGGAAAATCCACCAGCGTGTCGAGCTTGTCCCTCCAACATCGGTTGTAGGAGAAACGCTTTAGGTGAACGACCAGAATGCGAGGCAGCGACCACAAGTCAAACTTTTTTGAGGCCTGTTGATGTTTTTTACACGCTGGACAATACCTACACAAAAATATTAGATTCAGGTGACAAAGACAGCAGAGAAGGAGTCATTTTCACTGAGTTAGCTGAAGACCTCTCACCAGGGGTCATGTTCTCCCAGAATCTCCCTTGTCGTAAAGAGCTCGATACATTCCTTCAGAGCCACAGTGGTTTTCTTTCTTTGAGGCAGCAACATGCTCTCATGCTTCTCATAGGCCTAAACAAACATTTTCAGACAATATAAATAATGTTTGGTCACAAGACCATGAGAGGAATATTAAAGCACCGACCTCTGCTTCGTGCTCGTCATAACAGTGTTTCTTTGACTCGATGTCCCAGTCAATCGCCACCGTAGAATGTGCTGCAGGGAGAACAGAGTGTTTTAACAAGTTAAATATTCAAGTTTTAAATGAAAAACTTCAATTAGCAGCACTTACGATTGAGCTTGAGGACATTTCCATCACAAGGCAGCGGGCTGATGTTGACCGTTCCATAAGAGTTGACTATGCTGAAAGTGAAGAGCTTTGTTGTCTCCCCTCTGGACCCGTTTTCCAAATCAGATGTTTCCTCCTCTTCCTCAGAGTGACCATTCTCTGGTTCTGGGCTTACCTGGTGGTCCATGGCCTCCTCTTCACCTGAACAAAAAAAAAGGTCTTTTAATTTTCCTATAAACACTCGTTTTCTTGCTTCCACTCAAATGATCCAACATTTCTGCAGTGTTCATGGCAGCTACTTACCATCATTGATCCCATTAGCTTCACTGCATGGCCCCGAGTGGTTGCTGCCATTACTGGAGCTGGCACTGCACGAGGCCCCCTCTGAGTGGGGGCTGCCACAGCCACCCAGACTGGACGCTGTGGAACATTCAGGAGCCTGGCTGCAGCTGGACAAGGTGGCAGATGCTGACGCCTTGCTTTCACCATTTGGGGTGTGTGCAGGTTTTACATAACGCCTGGAACAGAACAGTGAAGAAACTAAATAAAAGATCATTTGTGTTGAACAGGGTTTTCACAAGCGAAGGCATGATACATTTAAAACTTCCTTTAGAGGATCAAAAACTACAAAAGCCTGTGGAGTCCAGAACCAATCTGGAACAAAAAGCGCAAAATCATTCTAATTAAAAAGGAAAATAATAAAATGCCCGACTCTGCCAACAGATCTGGATTTCGAACTGAAGCAATGAGAAAACGTACTGCATCTAGTTAAGAGATAGATCTATACTGGCAGGGTCCAATGCTGACATGTTCCTGTTTTTAGTTTTCTATATTTGTCTTGGAATCTAGCTGTTTTTTTTTGTTTTTTTTAGCCATCCTATTTGTTTAAAAAAAAAAAAAAAAAACGTAGTATGCTTTTTTATAACTGTTTATTGTTGTTGTTGCTATTGTCCATTGTTGTCATCTTTCTTTGTTGAAATCAGGTCTCTCTTGTAAATGAGTCCTCGAGGCTCAATGGGATTTACCTGTATAAATAAAGGTTGATTGATTAATCAGCCAACAAAATAAACCAAATATTAAAAGCCTGAATTGGCCATGCCTGTACATACTTCAGTTTTAAGTGGGAAAGATGCAGCAGCAGCTGCTACAGCCAGCTTACTGTAGCCCACAACTTAGTTTAAGAATATAAAAAATATATTTTATTTATGTAAAAGTCCTTCACAGGGTTGTTAAAAATGTTTATTTAAATTTAGCAACTATTATAATTTGTTTAATAAAAATTACATAAAGACAAAACAAAAAAAAGTGTGTTATATATTAATATTATATTGTTATATATTGCATATTGCTAATTGATGGCCTGAATATCAACAGAGTGAGATGGACCACAGAAAAGTTGTATCAGCAGACTTCTACCTACAGTTCATTGATTTAGTGACGTATAGTGAATATAAATTATGTTTACGTAAATGTATACATATAAGACTAGTGAACAGTTGTGCAGTTTGTTACCAATGGATTATTGGCCATTTTTTAATTTTAGTTGCACACACTATTAAAAAGATAAAGACAACATGTTAAGTGTATTCAAATAGATAAAATCTAATTTAATGGATTAAAACTTGCTATAATCTATGAAATAGCGCAAAAAAAATAAAAATCTTAAGATGTTCCAAGCTTCACAAACTGCAGATATTTAGGTTCAAATGTTTCGTTTGTGTACACTGGTTTATATTTTTCATAACAGCCTCAGTTATTTTGTTTTGTTTTAAATCACTTTGGAGGAAAGGGGCGAAGATGGTGCTTTTTAAAATGCTACAGCAAAGCACCGTCCTCACTTTGATTACAATGCCAACTTTTAGGTTTTGCTAATTTATTACATATTAGAAGGTACAAACTAAAGCCCAACCGATATATCGGTGGGGCCATAATTTAGGCGGATATAGTTGTTTGGGGACCTATCAGTATTTGTCATAACTGTCCCATTATTCACCCATATACTGGTAAGCACTTCTAATTTTCACCCCTAAAATGTTGTGAACCAGCCGTAATTGTACAATGTAACCAGCAGAGGGCACATGAAGACTACTTTCAAGTCATGGACGTTCACTTAAGTTTCACTTTCACTTTCAACACAGAAGCAGAAGGCAATACTGTGTGGCGTAGTTTGCTGAACAGAGCAAAGTAAGCAAAGTATTTTAACTGATCTGTAAAACAAATCAACATTAATAAATTATCTTCAATCCTCCAACCTGCTCGTCATTAGCTACATGCCTCTCAAGTTAGCAAGTTAACGTTTAGATAACCTAGCATAAGCTATTGCCTTGTAACTCTTTATCCAGAACAATAAATCTAACGTAGAGGTAAAATATATCAGTGTTAGTAATGCTATTTTTTTTTGTCCTCAATGAAATGCATTGTTTGTCTGAAATCTTTACTTCTGAGAAAAATAAAATTAAAAAAACCTCTGCTACTGTGGTCCACACTAATTAGGCCGTCACCACACATGACTGACTGTTTAAACAATGGACAGGGAAGAGTGTTTCTTTGTTTTATTTATATTTATGTAACACAATTGATAACTTTATGGTGAATAGTGGAGAATAGAAAATGAGAAAGCACGTTAGGAAGATAGTTTTTATGATCAGTGCACCAATTGTAAACCTAGAGTGGGACTACGTATAGGGTTAGGGGTGCACCGATTGCAATTTTCTGGCCGACCACCGATTTCTAAAAAGTCTGACCTGCCGATTCTGATTTTGGCCGATATAAATTTTGTTTTATAAGTGACTGTCGGGTGCTATAAGGTCACAATGCACCTTCAATTTTCCACTATTATTGTATTGGAAAACATACTCTTTTTTTAAACAATATCATAGAAACAATACAAACTTGTTTTAAATGGCAATGAGGTAGTGCTCTGAAATATAAATGAAGTTCAGACAATTGTTGTTAAAACAAAAGAAAAATCTGTTTCTCATGCAAGTATCGGCCGATTTCCGATTTCCCAAAATTAAGGAAATCGGGGCTGATTTATCGGTGCACCCCTATATAGCGTGGATCTGATTTGGTTAGCGTCATGGATGATAACAGTTGCGCTAAATAAACAAGACCTGCTCCACTTGCTGTTTACTTAAGATTCTCGGAGGTGGACAAAGGTCATACATTTTCAGCCGTTATATCGGTTATCGGCAATCTCCTTTCCCTCCCAATATCGGCGATACCCAAAACTTCCATATCAGTCGGGCTCTACTACAAATCAAGACCACCAGTAGCTAGTTGTGCTACTTAGAATATCCCTTCAAAAATGTTCTTAATTATACAAATAATAAAATCTAATGTGAAAGCTTTAGCGTTTTTTTAAAGAAAAACACTGTTTTGAGGTTAATTCTGGCAAAGAGTTTAGAAATGATTTGTAGAAACTGACTATATCTAAACTGTAAGATGGATTTATTTTCTACCTTCCAGATCTTGTTCTTACCCAATTCTTTCCAGGATCTTGTCATAAAGAACATCTGCTACCAGGTTATGTCGGGGTACACTGATGAGTAAAGGTTGGCCAAACAGCGAGGTGCTTGAAGAGCTTCCAACATGCTTCGAGTTGCGCTCCCTGAAATATACAGGCAGGTTCATCCTTTCGTTGTCCTCCTCCTGCACCTCATACCTGCAAAGAGCATCAACAGACAGATTAGTGTGTGAACACAGTTAACGTCGCAGCTCGTTTTCAAACCATTAAAGCTTACACAAAAATGTCGTCTTTTTCCATGATATGGTTGAGGCCATCATCTCGTCTGTAAATCTTGTGGAACCTATGATTGTAAACATCTGCAACCACCATCTTTGAAGAAAAAAGTCGCAGACAAAAACAAATTCAACTTGAGACAAATTCCAAGCGCCTGAAACTGAACAAACAAGAAATGAGGAAAGAAAAAAAAAAAAGTTCTAACATTTTCTGAAGGAATTCCACAGAGTTTGGACAAGGCGCTGCAGAGGTCTGTCACTGAGCCCAGTTTGGGGACCACCACTCGATACTGCGATAAATACACAAAAACATCATTTTTTAAAACAAGAACCTTAGTAGCAGATACGAATTACTTCCATTTATCTGTAGTTCCAAGCCTGGAGCACTATGAGAGAAGATTGACTTGGACTCACTTGTGTGGGTCTGGACTGAGGGTCTGACCGCACCAAGAAAACCTCCATGGTACGGTCTTTTTTCATTGGGAGAGGTAGCGTGAGGTAGCAAAAGGGGTCAAAGGTTACAGACACCTTATCGCACTCTGGACACACCAGTGTTGATTTGAAAAGCCCGTGGAAAATGTCAACTATTACTGAGTCATTGCGCAAGCGGTGGTTCGTCCAGGCTTCCTTGGCAACAATCTAGAACACAAAGGATGCATTTTTATTATTTGGCATTTTAAATCAGTAATCCAGGGTTTAAAACAAATCTCATCACTTGGTACTTTAAGGATGCTGTCATAGTCTACACTTCAAGCTCAACCCTCAGAAAACTAAACTAAACTTACACTTTATAAAACAAACAAACAATAGAACACCACACTGAGCCTTTTACTCTATTTGGGATGTGAATGAAAAAAAAATTACATTTGTCATTTCTGTGCATATGAAGCTTCTGATGAACGGCTTCTGCTCATGTCTGTGTTCTGAGTTCAGCAGACATCAGCTGCTTCCGGGTCAGACAGCACAAAGAGCTCTGAGCTCTCCTGTATTTTCCATGAGGTACACATGACGTGTAATCAGTGTTTATAAATACGGAGGAGTCCGAGACTTCCTTAACTCACTCGAGGGCTGACACTTTCACGTCTGTATTTTGACTGAGTTCCTTTGTAAAGATAAACTTGAAGACAAAGATTGTTTTCTTTAAGAGGCTGTATATATTAATTTCCACAACAGGGACGAAAGTCCACAAATTCAAATACAAATGTGAATGAATCGTACTTCATCTAGACGGCCCTCAGCATCCCTCAGGGCCAGATAAGGCTTCTTCTTGACACGATTCAAATCTTCATGAAGCCCATCCAACAGGAAGGCCAACAATTCCTGCGAGTCCTGTTGCTGGTAGCCTGAAAACTGCGGAGCAAAGCGTCCAACCTGGGTCTGGTGGTGGGGGGGAAAGGGATAGGTGTTACTTTTCTTATCTACCTTTGATTGGTACTTTTTTAATATGAATAAATTATCATCCCAATAATTTGTCCTGACTCACTTTAAATGTGCGCGGTGCCACATAACTGCTGCGGCTCATCCACATCTGCTTTACAAGATCTGCATAGGCCTCAGCAATCTCCCCCCTCATTCCCAACGGATTCTCACGGTTAATTTCGGCTTCATACTGATCATTGAGGAAGTACTCTGTGAGTGGAGACACGTTGCTCAGGCACTGGAGAAAAACGGACAAAAAAACAGAACATCAACATGTTAATCAAAAATGTGGTAATCAACTTCCACAAAATGACTGATTTATTTGCGACTTCTTACCTGAAGTGCAGAGTTCATGAAGCATGTGTTGCCTAAATTACTGAGACCGCATAAACCAGGTTGCGATTGTGACTCTCTGTAGTTGTAGGAGGAGCTGTAAGAGTTGTAGCTCCCAAATCTGATGAGAAACATTTGTTGTTTTTTTTATGATGGTACCTTAAAACATATGCTAGGATGAAATGAACACTTTAGGCTAAATTTGAAATGAAACAAAATCACTAACAAAAAACCTTTTTAATATTCATATATTTTATTGTGAAGCACCTAGTCATTTTTACATGTGAAGAGTGCAAAAAATAAACAATACCTTACTTATTTAATAGTTATAATACATAGGTTTATTTTCTGCAATCAACAAATAAGATTTTCAACGCATCATTCCTGTTCTTACTTAATATGTTCCCATGTTTGTGAATGCACACAAATCCAAAACTGTTTTGCTTATCTAACTGAATTTGTACTCTGTGACATCTGCAAAATCTGTCCAATACGGCATATTTTCTTTAAAGTTGAAACAAGTCAAAAGTATATAGTTGTACAAAAAAGCAATTATGGTATATTCCCTAAAAGACTACTACAAGAGTTAAACAATGCAGAGGGAGGTAAGAGAAACAGCTTTTCACTGGATACTTTGATGCATGCTCAATAATCCAGGTAGAAAAATCTACAAAGGTTAAGTCAGGTCCTCTGGATGGATTCAAAAAAAAAAAAAAAAAAAAAAACTTGTTGAAACGTCCTGACTTAACCGTTTTAGAGCTTTTGATTGGAGTGCACACTTACTGAATTCAGATGCTGGTGCATCTGCTGTTCTGGTTTAATTCCTTATTAATCTTTCACTGTTTTCTATCCAATTCTTCTTCTGCATACTCAGTTTTCAGTTTTGTTGGGAAAATCAGTCTCGAAATAAATCTTCACGCTGTCTGATAGTTTTAGAGTTGCTAGCAAAATCAACCCTAAACATATCATTTAAAAAAAAAATCAAATTCAAATGATGCAAAAGAAATCTGTTTTTGTTGACAACTGATTTATAAAATATTAGCTAATCTAACAAAACTTGGCTTTTTAAAATAAAACTTAAACTTGTCTATTGTAGAAAAAAGCATCTAAAATGCTTTTAAACAAACATTTTCATGTAGTTTCTTCAGTAACTCTGATTTATCCAAGATATGAAGCTGGTTTGAAGCTGATACTTGTGCAAACAAACAAACTAACACAAACTGTAATTTGTAATTTGGACCAACACAAATTGTATCCAAAACAATGACTATAAGACACAAGTACCAGTGGACTTCAACAGAAAAGATTTCTTGCCTGTTGCTGGAGGAGGTGCTGTTGTTCAGCGTGTATCCAGGGCTACAGCTGTTGTCTCCATTGGTTACTGTTGAGGACATACTGACTGAGGAGCTTGAGGAAAGCTTTGGGGAGGTGGTGAAATTTCGAGATGGGGTTGCACTGGATCTGCTGAGCAAAAACAAGCATCTCTCAGAAAAAGCATGTTCCTACAAAGTATCTCAAATTTTGGTTGGCAAATAAGTCTGCAATGGGATACAAAACATTTTTTTTGAGGATTTTATGGAAAAAAAAAAAAAAAAAAAAGAGTTCAATTACTTGGGATGGGAAGCTTGTCTGGGCCACGTGCCGTCCTCATTCTTGCTTTCAATCACAAGAACCTGCAGGCAGACAAGCAGAATGAATGCTAAACTTTACACTCCTCCCTAACGCCACAGTATATTGTCTCAAATCAAAAAATAATGGTCTGCTGCTGTCAAGCTTCATTAGGTGCAGGTAGCTCTACTTATTTTATTTCTAAAGTACTATCAACTCAAAGGTTGTATTATTCTCTGGTTTTCAGCTGCAAGGATTGATTATTTCATAATATTTTAACCAGACTGAAAGCATAGCATTCTCATTTAGAGCCTGACCGAGATGGTGTAGAGGCAGGGCAGCCAGCTTGGGACCCAAAAGTCCCAGGTTCGATCCCCAGTCACTGCACATCACGTGGCGTCTCTGGGCAGCACACCTCATCCCCAAAATGCCCCCCGGGCGCTTTCAATAGCTGCCCACTGCACCACCTGGTGGTGGATGGGTTAAATGCAGAGACTAATTTCGCCATTGTATGGAAACATAGAGTGCTGACATTGTGATGACATTATTATTATTATTACCAATATCCCCTTATGCGCTAATATAAGCACTTCCAATTTTCACCCCTAAAATGCTGGAACCAGCCGTAATTGTACAATGAAACCAGCAAAGGGCCCATGAAGACTACTTTCAAGTCATTGCAGCTCACTTTAGTTTCACGTTCACATTCAGTAGATGAAGCAGGGAGCAATAATGAGTAGTGTATTTTGCCCAAAAGAGCACGGTATGTTTATGTTAACTGATCTGTAAAATAAATCAACAATAATAAATTATCTTCAATCCTCCAACCCATTTGTCATTATTAGCTACGTACCTCTCAAGTTAGCAAGCTATAATGTATAGATAACCTAACATAGGCTAATTTTTGTAAAACTTTAGCCAGAACAATAAATCTAACTTTGAGGTAATATATATCAGTGTTAGTAGTTATTGCTGTCGTCCTCAATGAAGTGCATTGTCTGAAATCTTTACTTCTCTGCGAAGAAAAAAAAATGCTGCTGTGATCAATGCTAATTAATTCAATTCAGTTTCTTAGGCCTTCACCATATGTGACTGACTGTTTGAACAATGAACTGGGAAGGGTGTTTTTGTTAATTTACATTCATGCAACACACTTGATAACTTTATGGTGAATAATGGAGGATAAAAAAATGTGAACACAGATTAGGAAGACTATTTTTATGACCAGTGCACCACTTGTAAACTTAGTGTGGGACTACATGTAGCATGGATCTGATTTGTTTAGCTTCATGGTTGCTAACAGCTGCGCTAAATAAACAAGCCCTGCTCTACTCGCTGTTGACTTAGATTCTTAGGGGTGGACAAAGCTTAAAAACTTTCAGCCATTATATCAGTTATCGGCATTCGCCGTCCCCTCCCAATATCGGTATCGGCAATAGCCCAAATTTCCATATCGGTCGGACTCTATCCTCATTTGATAAGTGCAAGCTAATGGTATGAATATTACCTAGTAAGATATTTTCCTTCCCTACACCAAGCCTAACATGTATTTATGTTTAAAGTGAAACATTATTTACAACACAGTATAAAACACTTACAACAAGGGTTAAAGGATAATCATAAAATGCACAACAATAGTTTAATCATTGCATAACCCAGGGTTATTCAACTGGCGGCCAGCGGGCCACTTCTGGTCCATGGGTGACTTCAGTCTGGCCCACCAATGAGTTCTTCTTTTTTTTTTTATTGGGGGTTTTGGGTTCCGTTTATTGCATTTATGATTCAATGCAATAAAACAAACAAATTTAAAAGTTAACTGATCATTGTAATACTTGGTTTATTTACATAATGACTTTAATTGCTGGATGTCCAGCCCCTGAGCTGCTGGCTTTCAGAAAATGTGGCCCGCTGAGCAGTTTAGTTGAATAGCCCTGGCATAAAAATAATGCACATCTTAATGTAGGGCTAATGTGCAGCTTTGCATTTAGCTCCATGGTATTCCTGTTTGTTTATGACTGTGAATGAATTATGTATGCACAAAGTATACTAATATAGTAGACTTTGATATTCTCTGGGTCATCAGTACTCTTAAGGTAATTTGGACAGAGTCCTAAACTACCTGCCCCTGGAAGAGCCCAGCATCCTGTACAGTGCTGTCTGGCTTGTTCAGCTGTTCATAGGTGTTGCTCATATATTTGTTCCAGAGTCGGATCTCCTTTTCTGAAGGGATATTGAACAAATTTCGCATCTCCTTCTCTATAGCATCTGGAAATACAACAAAGCACATATATTAAACAGGTTGTGCTAGAAATCTGAAATAGCTTTTGATTAACATGGAGCTGATGATTTAATTTCTTACCTATAGTATCAGCTTTACTGAAATGACGTGTGATGACATTGTCCATGTTGTCATTCTCACACAAGTTCAGCTCAAGCAGATAGACTTCCACCTTACAGTGCTTCACAAACATGCCATGTTCAACCACCTAAAGGAGAACAGTATTTGGAGAGCACCGTCAGTGCCTTATGGCATATTTTGAAAAGGAAAAATTAAAATATAAAGACAGAATTACCTTCCTGACAATGGGTTCCTGGCCCTCAAGGCAGCCATACCAGTTGACAAGCTTATTCCATGCCTCAGTTGGTACAAGGACATAGTCTAGCTCATCTATAAGGTGCTCTTTCAGGGCCTGAGTCTCCTGGTCTTTAAGACAAAATAAATAAGTAAAAAGAAAATAAAGGCAAACTGGAAAAGACTGATAGAATACCAGTATACATATAAACATAGTTTTTTTTTTTTTATTCCTTGCAGGATCAATAAAGTCCTTATACTGTAACTTCAGTTTTACCTGAAAATAGCCCAGAGTTATCGATTGGTCCTGGATACAGGCTACGCTCTCCAACATTGTACATATCCCAGCTGTCAAACCCCACATACTTCTTCCACTGTTTGAACCACCGGCTGTCTATTAGATACCTAGGACGAATTGAATAACAGTTAGTACATACAGTAAACATACATCAGAAGACCCTCAAATTAGTCAAGAAAGTCTATAAAAGCATTATTAGGTAATACTTATGTAATTACATAAAACTGTAAAACATAAGACACAAACGAATAAGAAACACTGCTCAACACATTATGAGAACACAGAACATTATGAAGCACCAAACTGCCTTGGCATCTGCAGATATACTATCAGCAAACCTCTGACCTAATCACAACTACAGAATATGTCACAAAAAGCTTGAAATAACATATGAACAGTGCATTTTGCAGCAACAGCCTCCATGCTTCTGAAGCGTCTTTGCCTTTAACATAAGTTTAGTTATACTCAACTGTACAACTTTGTGGAAAGTCAGATTAAGTACATTCTATTTTAAGGAGTAGCCTACCTATATATGTGAACACGTTAGCAGCTTAACTAGCACCTAGTTAAGTGACAACCGCCAATCTAAGTTAGGGTGTAGAATATTATCTTCTCCTAAGTTTAGGTAAATGACTCAGTTTCTGACATTTTTCTACAGTGATAATATATTCCCTTTCCAAAACATTGGCTGCATTGCATCCAGGTCTGAAACTGCGTTGCTTCAAAACGAGACTAAGAAATGTCATGTCTGTCAAAGAACTATGTTCAACAACGAGCCGGTTCGACAAGAAGGGGCACCCATCATCTGACTACGAGGCCTACTAGCTAGCACATCATCGGCTAACTCATCCAACATTTAACAAATAGGAGCTAATGCTCAAATACCTCACTCAGACTTTTTCAAGTGATTAGACTACATATATACAAGCGAAATGAATGATCATAACTACACGAACATCATCCAACAAAGACATTATAAAGTCGTATTTGTTAGCAGCTAACATGCTAACGTGTATAACATTAGCTTGCCATTAGCACGGGAGCTTTCGGTTTCTACCCTCTCTTAGCATCGTAGCTTTAGCATGTTAGCACTTCCTGTTTCGCGCTAGCTAACGCTAAGAGACTCCAATCGCGTTAAACGCTGTCATTTCTTACCATTCGTCACCCCTTTTTAGACTTGTCTTTAACAATGACCCAATAGTTTGTTTCTGATTCTCTGTTGAAGGGGTAGGCATTTGTGTGGCTACCGGCTCCGAGTCTGCCGCGCTGCCCGACTCGGGTCCGCCTCCCTCAGCCATCATGCAGCTAGTGTGCCGGTATCGTGAACGCGCTGAAGCTGACACAAGGACGAGCTTCATGCGTTCTTTCCTACAGGAGCGATTCTAAAATCTGACCTTCAGGGGGCCTCCGCCGCTTTCACTTGGAAGCACCTGTTAATAACTTTTAATGTGGAATAATTTATTTTTCAAACTAATACCATACTAATGATGAAGTATGTTAACTTAAATTGCAACACAAATTATGAATCTGTTGTAATGTATAATAATGTATATAATAATGTATGCTCCCAACAAACTCAATAAGGATTAAATACATGCTGACCTCTGCTAAAACACACACTCTGCCTATAATACTGTATTTTAAATAGTCTGTCGTTATCAATGTTCCAACACATATTGAACATTATTATTTATATTGCTTATCTTATTTCTTTATATATTGTATTGTTTATTAACATTTAGGAACTTTTGTTTGAAATCTTTTTATCTGTTGCTGCTGTTACACTTGAATTTCCCATCCGTGGGACAATAAAGGCTGTTTCTATTCTATTTTATTCTATTCTATTTTATTCTATTCTATTCCATCATTTGTAATGAATAATCAATATTATAAAGACAATTCATTTGGGGAGTGCTGGCAAAGAGGTTTTGATTGGTATGTCGATGGTACAAATCCCCCTGACCCGTTACATCAAAATGTGGGTGGAAAAAGTGAAGCACCCATACTTGCCTCCACCTACATTTGCCCAACTCCTTGACCAAGGCCCTGTACCCACCATCTGCTCCCCTGTGCACCAGTTGCTAGTCTTCCACGTGGGCTGCGGTAGCTCGGTGGTTGCTTCAGGAAGGGCATCTATCACAATTGTTTGTGCAAGTTGCGTGATGTGGCAACCCCTGAAGGGAGCAAAGAATATCTACTACTTGGAAAAACACAATAAAAGGTCAAATCATAGCCAAAAGGGGTATGAAAAGGACTGCACCACATTTAATTAGGTAGCTATGACAGAAATTATAGCTGTACAGTATCAAAAACTTATTGTCATTGCAATCTGAGCACTATAGCAAAATCACAAAGGACTGCTTGGACATCAGAAAGTCCTACGGCCTTTTTCCATTAGCTTGAAATTCCTTGCTCAGGTTGGCTTTGTTCATCTTCAGAGTCTTTCCATTGGGCATCCTACTCACTGCTTAGAACCTCAGCTGAGGCTCCAAGCAAACCAAGTTGCGCTCAAGATTTGACGTCAGCAGACTGCAGGTCATTGATTGGCCAGAGAGTGACATCAGTCATGAGTGTCTGTTACAACAGTTAAATCCATCAGTTCTTAAAATTCACAACTGCAGCATTAGTTTTAGTTATATATCCGTTAAAATGACAACACCAAGACAAGTTATAGCCTATCTTAAGAAAGGATCTATAAGAAAAGTTCCAACATGCTAGTTATTGACAGCAGTATTCAGACAAGAGTAGACCAAATGGACTTGATTTACCACCTGACCAGTGATGGGAAGGTTTTACTTATTTGCTTGTTGCCATGTACAGAAAATAATATTGTGGAAGTTTGGGGCATTCAATCAAAAAACATCTAGAACATGAAGACTCGAGTACAGTTGAAGCGAGTCCCATTGAGATCGGACAAAGGAAAACAGCTATAGACATATTTCAAGTAATGTGCATTCATGTTCTGTGTGTGAATACTTTATCAATCCACCTAAGATTCACTAGACTTAACGCCCACACCTGCTTTAGATGAGAGCAATGACAGAAGAGGAAGTGAGGAGGAAAACCGGTTTAATGCGAGATCATTGCATTTTTTAACAATAACATCATGCATCTTACATTTTTCTAATATACTGAAGCCCTGTTAGAAATAAAGTCAATTCTAGCCATCCCTAACCTACATATATGAGCACAGAGTAATTAGAAGATGATCTGAGGCTAAAAGCAACTTTAAAAATGAGCAACATTTTCAGAATTCTCCCAAATTAGGAGGAATGTTGCAACTTCACAAAAAACCTAATCTATTATGCAGATTCAACACGATTTGTCTCCGTTCATTCAATCGACGTGACGTTAAATAACTAAAAAAATGCTTCTCCAAGACACTACTGCCATCTATTAACGTGACAAAATGTCTCACTCTGTTTTTTCTGTGCTGTTAAAAATTTAAATGGTACAAGATTAGCAAGGATTAAACCAAAGCGATGGAAGCAACAGAATAGGCAGCTCAAATTTGCCTTTTTTAAGTGGTAGTTTTGGATGAATAATCCATGAAAAAGTAGCTAGAGTCAAATTGCAGGTAATGATGGGAAGATTACAACTAAAATAAAGTTGTTCAAACTGACATTTTAATCTAATAAAACGAGTGAGGGATGAAGTATACATTTAAAATAATTTAAAGCTACATTTGGTCGTTTGTTTCCTTCATGAGGTCATTTTTGTTAATGTAAGCTTACATCAGTGAAGCCAAGAACATGCTTCTGTAGTTTTCTGCAAAGATTCTGATGGAAACTTGTTGGTGATAAATGTACATAATTAGAATATTAAAACATATCGCTCACTGTCCCACACTGATGGAAGTCGTTGAAACAGAGGAAAACCATCTCAGCTACAACGCAAAATAAACCCATTTGCACTTTAAAAATGTATAAAATGTGTCAGCTTTGTTGGGTAAAACTGGATTTTTAATGAAAACTGACTTTAGATTGTACAAAACATGATAGTTAAGCTAAAAATAAACCGTTGTCTACATGAGTGAAAAACAAATTTTCAGTCACCAACTACTACTGGTCCCAGGCCTGCTTCAAATTTTCAGGAGCAGACACGTAATAACGGATCTATAATCAAATGAATAAATAACATTAGTGTAACTTTATACACCATTTACACCTGTAAATGTTTTTGTGTCTCATATGAATATGGAAAAACTCAAGTCTAGCTGTGTATGAAAAAAACAACCCAGCAGGTTGTTCTCATTCTAAAAGCTTATGATTGCACACAGTTGCAAAACAATAATTCATCTCAATCAGCAAAAAGAAATTTCAGTTCCCCATACTATGTTGTCTCAAAATCTAAATAGGAATGCAAAGGTGTTTAGTACACATGATACAGCAGAGGAGCCAGTGTTTCTCAGTCAATGTAAAATGTTTTATGGACAGTAGGAGAAAGTTAAATACACGTGAGAAGACGATGACCAGAAACTTTGCATAAGAGTCTTGTTCCATCTTTTAGGGTTTGAAGCAAAAAAAAAAAAAAACATCTCTTGCAATAGACAATATTTTAAATGGAAGTCTTCTAGAAGTGACTGCGAGATCAGAAGATGCCGCTGGGCAGCTCTTTGCTGAACATGCCATCAAAGTCCAGCTCTCTGCTCATCAGATCGTCCTCAACGCTCTCCAGCGCCCACTGGTGGTCAGTCAGTTCCAGTGCTTCCCACTCAGCCTAAAGCAAGGAAAAAGATCACACGAGAAGCTTTAAAATCCCATCTTCTCTTTAACTTGTGCAGTTACTACAGCACATACTTTAAATGCTTTGTTTGTATCTGCAGGCATGGCCATGGCAGCTCCACTCATCTGCTCTTGCATGATCCTCGACTGATCGGCGCCTGGAGGGGTTGAAGTGCCGACGTTCAGCGTGACGGGATGAGAAATAACGAGCTCATTCACAACTCCAAATTACCTGTAGTTAACAAAACTTACCATTATCTTGGCCTAAAATTAACGAGTACATGCTTCGAAGTCCAAACACGTTGAGGAAATACCACGATGCTGAGCTCACCCTTGATAAATGCACACAGAAAAAAAAAAAGACAGTCAAAAGAATGTCACACTGGTACACTTCTTGTTTTATTAGCTTACCAGGAAGCATCCAATGAGAGCAGCTCGATTCCTTGTTGAAGCATAGGCTTAAAGCGCAGCGTGAGGGGGAACGGGACCTTAGCTTAAAAGGAACAGACGTACAACACGACATCGGGTCAGACAAGTTTAGAGCAGTTTAGTTAAACGTCTGTGAGTGAAGAATATACTTGTTACAAATCCCGAGAAGGTCCAGTTGATCCAGCCGCCGATGAGGATCATGGGAAGCACGTTGGTGACATTACCCTTCATCATGTCTGTCAGCATGCTGGGATCTGTGAAAACACACAGTGAGCTACGTATAAGAGCAGCAGCTTTTCTACTCTAATACAATTTAAAATGTTTCACTGAGGGGATTTTTTTTTTTAATATGGACACACAGCAACCTATAAACATGATTTATTGTTTGGTATTGGTTTATATGATAGGGGAGGAAACGTGGCAACAACAACAAAAAAAAAGGTGAATCTTACTTTTACCCTTGCCACCACTACTTAGCCTTATCCCTAAGTGTTGTGTGTTTTTAAGGGTTTGTTGTATCACAATTTTTTCTGTGACAAGTAAAAAAGGTAAAGTTGTAAGTCACTCTGCAAAGCAAAGAGTTTTCAATGACGCACTTCCAAAGGACAGTTACAAAAAAAATTAAAAAATCCAAAAAGGAAATATTGTTTCTGGTAAAAAAAAAAAAAAAAGTTACAAACTCCACCCAAACGATTGGTTGTGTTTATTTTCATTTAAAAGCATCAATGTTGATGTCTGTATCAAGATAGATGTTATGTGGAATATTGGATATTCTGATGGGGAAAAAAAATTTACTAAGGTAAATGGACTGTACTTATATAGAACCTTTCTATCTTATCAAGACACGCACAGCTCTTTGCAACATAATCTGTGTCCTCATTTACCCATTCATGCAGCACTCTACTAGATCTATACAAAGAATAATCAGTGCTTTATCACACTGATTAATAAGACACACATCGGAGGCAATGAGGGGTTCAGTGTCTTGCCCAGGGACAATTCAGCATGTGACTGTTGGTGGAATCGAACCCCCAACTCTTGCATTGGAGGACGACTGCGCTGACCACTCAGCTACAGCCGCCCCCACTATGTTGTGACTTTAAATTGAAACAACTGAAATGTAGCGGAGATAAAACTTTTAAAATGTGACTTGTCCACAGTTATTGATCACGCGGATGAATTTTGAGAGTTCTCTTACCTTATCTGGTAGTTTTGTTTAAACTTGCATGTTTGTTTAAAATGAGATCATTTATTTTTTACAGGAAGAAATCATAAACAACTATAACAAGAGTACTGCATACAGCACATAATATGCCTGTCGACAAACTATTACACAACAATCTATAGCAATGGCCTGGACAAGCAAAGACCTTGTATGACCTTGAACTGTGACTTTGACCTTAGAGCTGGAGTGATGAAAAACTTTTGCTGATTCAAAATAATAAATATATGCTACTTTGTTCTGTTTCTGGGATATTAGAACAGAATTAATTTAAACTGGTAATAGTATATGTCCAAACTGCTTTATTTTTTCAAAACGAGTATCAATCAACCTTTATTTATACATATCTACAGAGTATGTTTATTGGTTCACTGTATGTCACGAACGACTGCAACATCTCATGTTGTGCTTCACATACAAAGGTGTACCTGTCATGGGAGAAGGTGGAACCACCTTTCTTTTGGTCTTCTTAAAAAATCCATCCTCCTGGTTATTGAAGTAGAACTTCCTCATCAAAAAGGACTAAAACACAGAAAAAAATTGAAGAACAGTTTGTCACATATTGCAGTCATAACAAAAAATCAAATACGTGTAGAAAAGTTTTTTTTTTTAACTATCCATTGGAGAACTTTGAAAAAATTATACAAGAATAATAGTTATGGCTGTGAAAAATTATGAAATTCAAAAAGTGACAAATTAAATTTTTAAACATTTCTAAAATTTCTATTTAAAGCGTTGTTTGAGTAAATAGCTTTAAAAAAAAACCAAGTTTTCTCAGGTCACCATGACTTTAAATTGTTTTGCAAAAAACATTTTGGCTGAAAGGACAGAAAGGTTTGACTGAACAAGGCCAAAAGTTGAACGGTTTTGTGATTTAAGTGTGAGAAATGTTTTATAAATAAGCATCAGATGGATATCGCCTACCTGTTTGGGAATGTATTTTCCATTTTCTCTCAGAATTCTGCTTCGAATAAGAACCTGGCTGGAATCAGACAGGCAGAAACACATGCAGCATTATTGCGTACCAACTGCAATGACATTGTTTAGTTAACATTTACTTAAAAGTGTACATATTTACCTGTCAGAAACCTGCTCTAACGTCAACTTTTTGTCACTCTGAAGAAGAATAGACACGTAATGTCGAATCACCCCAACCAGAAAGGTGATGAAGACGATGGGTAACACCACCCACAGCCTGATGTTGGAGTCTAGCAGGAGCTCCGGCTCAGCCATCCTGCCTGCTGGAAGTCAAAGACGTCAGAATATTATTTGTGTTAAATAGGAGCATTGTGTGTCATTTTTGTATTTAATATTGTATCACATTAGAATATCACTACTTTAATTGCAAAGAATAAAATTCTTCAAATGTAGTTTTTTATATGACACTTTTAGATTTTCTTAATTGGTTTTAAGGTTCACTGCAGCAAAATAAACACATATAAAGGGGTAACACATCAATGCAATACTGAATTTGGCTTATTTCAAATATGACTTTAATTGCTGAATGTCCGGCCCATGAGCTGTTAGGTTTCAGTAACTGTGGCCCCCTGAGCAATAGTCCTGGTGTAAGGTCTAGTTTTTGTATCAGGCTAGGAAGAGAACAAGAAGCTGAAAGTCAAGAAAAGACAGGATGTAACCAGCGATGTGCTCCATCAATCATGTACCCTCATTCACTTTTATAGGAAGCCAACGTGACTGTGGTTAATAACAGACACAAATTCAAATACTATTGTAACAAAACACAATCAATACGTCACATTATATTGTGTGGAATTTAAAATAAAATATACCCATTTATGTATAAACACCCGCACATTAATGAAGCTAATAGAGCTATGCTAATGTTAGCCAGCAGGCTACCTTATCTTCCTGGTGTCCGGGTCAGTGGGTGGAAACAACCGAGTCGTCTCTTCGAGGCGACCGCCGCTTGCAGTATCTTCCTCAGCTGCGAAAGACGCAACAAACTCACAGAAACAGCTTAATGATAAGATTATGTAATCGCTACAAATATTCGGTCACTGCCATTTCCCTGGGCTAGCTGAAAAGATGAGAGCAAATTTCTGCTTCTGCATTTTGTCGTTGTCCGCACCTGACCCGATGGCGCTGCAGCGCCCCCTGACGGCCACACCGGAGACTGCAGAAAATGATGCTGACAGGCGCCGTGGATTAAGTGTAAATGAACGAATGAATGAATAAATGTGAAGACCTTCTGTTCTGAGAAACCTTTCAGAAAGTTGTGCTATTTTAATAATACGCAACACCAAAGAGCACAACTATTTTAAATTTTTCATAAAAGTGCACATATTCGTCAATTTAGAGCTAAATATTAATTTGTAGTTCATAAAATATAATTCTGGCTCAAGTTTTGGTGATGACCCACCTATGGATGCTAAGAACTTTAGTATCGCAGATTTGGTTTGATTAGGGGATACTTTGTAAAATAAATAATTAAATATTTGCTATCAGTTGTTTGAAACCAGCCCATGACATAAAAGTTATCTTTACCCTCAGACATACTGTCTGAATATATTTGTATATTTATGTGTGTGTGTGTGTGTGTGTGTGTGTGTGTGGGGGGGGGGGGGGGGCATCTCAGAAGCAAATGACCGCTAAACAAAGGGCCACAAATGGGTTGGTACATGTCCCTTAGACATTCATAATTAGTTATTTTTTATTATTATTTGTCTTTAAACTCTATTTATTAATTTGTTAAACTGCAACTTGCAAATGGAAACCTTAAACAAAGTTGTAAGACTACGGTAACTTTTAAAGGTGGGACCTTCCAGGGAAGAAGACAGGATTGAGACAGTAACCTTCACAGCAAAAAAAATATTTTCTTTCAAAGTGATGGCATCTTTTTCTGTTTTAATTGTAACATTGCAATTGCATTTATTTATTTATTCAAACATAGAAAACATTATTTTTTCCACTGTCCTGCCTACTTTTGGTTTTGGAAGTTTGGAGATGAAGTCTTGAGATTTCACCAAAGGTTTGCCTTTTTTTTTCTCTCTCTCTCTCTTTTTCAGATGTTTTTTGAAATAAATCCAAGTATTATGGTTTCATTTTACAAACTAATATGCTTACAACCAAAACGTGACCCAGAAGAGGGCAACACCAAACAACCAGCAGACGTGGAGGGGAAAGAAGAGCCAGGAAGAAGCTGGTCTACCTGCTGTGCCGTCATCATCGCCAGCTTCCCAGTGAAGAGGCCGTTCTGCGTCACGAGCAGCTCTCTGACCTCCACAAGGTGACGATACGAAGCAGCAGGCCATACATGTGCAGACAACTAAAAATATCCTCCTCACTGCCATCTGCTCCACTTCCAATGCCTCATTACACCTTGATTATACACGTTCATATGAATTCAAACAAATTTTTTTTTGCATTTTTATGATTGAGCTATTAAAAGATAAGTAAAATTTGGACGTTCTGAGAAGATGCAAGCCCTCAGAACTGAGATGCTGAAAGAGACATGATTGCACTCCAGGACTCTGTAATTGAACCGTTTTGTGATTCTGACTTTAGTCTATACATGGTTTTTTTTTTATTTCTCCTGTAATTTCCATTTAACAGAAACTTTAGACAACCAACAGAAAATGGTCTAATGAGTGAAAACACTGCACAAAAGGTTTCAAGCAATGAAATGGCTGTGGTGCCACCAACATTGCATCAGAACTCCCTCATGCTCCAGAATGAGCACTTTCACAGTTTGTCAAATAAAACATATTTTCTTATCAGCTATAACGACAGATAAAATCCACCTTTCTGTGTTAGTGTGTGCTAACTGACGAAGCAATTAACTGCGCTGCCCGACGGACATCCGCTCTGCCTCCTGTAATAACCATCCTCCCTGCTCCCCACAGGCTTCATTAAGGCTCAGGATCGGGTATTAAAGGAAGCTCATGTGAACTCTCCCCATCTGACACCTGCAGGACGAGGACGCCGTTCAGAAGGCCGTGTCTGTGCACGCTTCACTGGCGCAGAGTGAACTGAAGCGAGGAAACCTGTAAAATAGAAATGTTACTTGTACCAATCTGCGACTCTAAAACAAACTCTGAGCGGTGACTCACACCTCCATCGTTTTTAGATCGTTGTGGAGCTGAATACCTAAATTAAAAAAATTCTCCTCGTGTTGTTTCTTTCTCCCTCTCTGTAATTAATCAGCTCTTCACGATAGTTGCATTTGATCCCAGTTCAAACACCGATGTGTGACTCAGCATCAGCTGTGGCAGGATAATCAGACTTATTTGTTCTTTTATATCTCTGACTTCATACAGAGCTCTTCACTTCTTCTCTTTTCCTTCCTGCTTTCCTTCTTGTTTTGTTCGTTATTTGATTGAAATGATGGTGGGCTGAGTATCTCGTCATCACTGAGCGTGTGAGTCTCATGTTTAATTTACACAAACCTCATTTGCTCCATTGCTCCTTCGGGGATCTTCTAATTCTTCTGTGGGGGTTTAAGAAGGTTTTATGCACCGTTTCTGATCAGGGAGAACTACGATACAACAAGCTCCTCGTGTTAATATTTTTATTTTAAGCTTGTCCTGATCACCTTTTTTTTAAAACACTGTGTTAACTATCTGTGTGAATAAAGTTTTGTTAAAAATCAAAATCTTGTTCTTCTTTTTCTCCTCCTCTCTTCAGGGGTGAGTCATCCTCCTCCATCTCACTCTGTCCTCTGCATCCTCTGTCCTCACTCCCTCCATGTCCTCTCTAACTGCATCCATATGTCTTCTCTTTGTCTTTTTCTGGGCAGCTGCATTTCTAACATCCTTATACCAGTATACCCACTGTCCCTCCTCTGGACATGTCCAAACCATCTCAGTCTGGCCTCTCTGACTTTATCTCCCAGTTGTTCAACATGTGCTGTACCTCTGATGATCTCATTCCTAATCTTATCCATCTCTGTCACTCCTAAGAAGAATCTCAACGTCTTCATTTCTGCCACTTCCAGTTCTTTCTCCAGTCTTTTTGTCAATGCCACTGTCTCCAGACCATACAACATAGCTGGTCTCACCACTGTCTTGTAAACTTTTCCTTCGATCTTTGCTGACTCCCTTTTGTCCTGAAACTTTTCTCCGTCCACTCCATCCTGCCTGGACTCTCTTTTTCACCTCTTTACCTCAGTCCCCATTTTCCTGGACAGCGGACCCCAAGTACTTGAAGTCCTGCACCTTTGTGACCTCTGCTCCTTGTAGCCTCACTGTTCCACCTGCCTCCCTCTCATTCACACACATGAACTCTGTCTTACTACGGCTGACTTTCATTCCTCTTCTTTCAATTGCAAACCTCCGCCTCTCCAAGCTCTCTTCCACCTGTTCCCTGTTCTCACCACAAATCACAATGTCATCTGTAAAACATCATAGTCCACGGGGATTCCTGCCTGATTTCATCTGTTAGTCGGTCCATCACCAAAGCAAACAAGAAGGGGCTCAGAGCCGATCCTTGATGCACTCCCACCTCCACCTTGAAGCTATCTGTCACTCCTACAAAACATCTCACCACTGTCCTACTGTCCTCATACATGTCCTGTACTTCTCTGCCACTCCAGATTTCCTCATGCAACACCACACCTCCTTATGTTGGGCTGATTGGTAACTCTAAATTGTCCCTAGGTGTGAGTGAGAGATTGAATGTTTGTCTTGTTTGCCTCTATGTGTCCCTGAGATGGACTGGAGACCTGTCCAGGGTGTCCCCTGCCTCTTGCACAGTGACTGCTGGATATGGACCCCAGTGACCCTCGTGACCTGAACAGGAAAAAGCAGATTAAAAAAAAGGATGGATAGATTTCAATATATTTTAGTTTCAGACGTTCTCCTCTTCATTGGTAGGAGTTTTAAAGGGTCAACCATCCATCTGGGCTTTTCTCAGGAGTTTTCTCATTTGCTGAAGTTGTGTTACATCTGTTTACATCAGCAGCTGCCCCCACCCCATCTGTCACAGGAATTAGGCAGTTATCCTGAACAAACCTCGGGACTCAGAACGGGGATTTAAAAACCTGGCTTTGAGTCATCATTTAACGATTTTTATGTCCGTAAAAAAAACATTCAATCAATTTCCTCCATGTGGTATTTGGTCAAATTTGCAGCGCAGGGAGGAAAGAATGACGAAGCAGTGTTTGGCTGTAACAGAATGACTACGCTGATCTTCCTGCTGATAAATCCTGCAGCACAGGATGAGCCGTGCACGCCGCCTCACAGGGGCTCTTGTGAACGTCTACTCAGTTTTCAGCTCAGATTACTAGAAGCTGTGTCAGCTGACCGAGCTGTTTGGCCTAACACTGTCTGTTCACACCTTCAGATTCAAAAACTGTGAAAGGAAGAAGCTGACGCAGGTTACGTCCAAAATATAGAAATAATTTAAACATGATTACATTTCAGCTTTCACATGTAGTTCTAAACCGCTTAATGTCCTTTTCAGGAGGTACATCTGCAGTTTTAGTTTGAACAGATGCTACGTTCTTGTTTTTAGTGTTTATTAGCCACGGTGCAGGTCAGATGAGCCCAAACGTGACATTTGCCTTACAGCCAAACATTGTTTTTTTCTTCTTTTTCATTTCACCCCAGGCATTGCAGAAACAAAACACTGTCTCCACATTCCTTAATAAAGTTTATAAATAAATAAAGTTTTCAAAATGAAAAAAAAAAGCCTCTTGAAAGATGAGTCTTTGCCTAAAGCAGATATGTTCAAGTACCTTGGAGTTTTGTTCATATGGGATGAGATCAACACGTTGTCTGCGGTGTTAAAGGAAGATTTAGCCATCTCATGTGCATTTATGTACATTAATTTCACCAACACTGTTATGGACATACAGCTAAAAATACTGCAGAGTCGACTAACATCCAAATGAAGTGACATTATGTTGACAAAAAAGAAAAAGGTATGCAGGCTCAATTATCCAGGTAGATAACAAAATAAGGTTATTTTATTATGTTGACAACTTGGTTAAATTATGCTAGAACTACAATGTTCTAAAAAATAAATTATTTAAACAAAATCAAAAGCAACCTTATTTCCTCGGGCGGCTGAGGTGAGCTGCTGGGAAGCTCAGTCCTCACCTCCTTCTACAGGTGTGCAGTGGAGAG